TTGGTGCCCCTGAAGTATCTTGCCGAAATGGGAGCTGACGCATCAGCGTATGCTCCAATTCAAGGGTTTATTTGTCTGTATCCTCATGTTAACTCACCGTATGATAGATCATTTGAGATGTAAGAGGAACAGTTCCATAAATGTGATAATGTGAAAGGTACTGGTACCTTTAAAGAGTTTTGTTCTTTTTGTAACATAATGTTAATTGACTCCTTCATTTCATCACAGTATTACATGTAAATATATAGTAAATATTATTGATACACTATTTGTCTTTTATTTAAATCTGGGCTGCACAGTAAATGGTATTTTTTACAAAGGTATATAAAGGAATTCATATAACTTCTGTTTGCAAGCTTACTGTATGATCATTTAGCTTCAGCAATTGTTTTGTTATTTAGAATCTACTTTAAAGGTGTACTTTATTGGCATTTAAAACTGAACAGTGATTCTTCTTAGAACTGCAGTTCTAACTTGGAGGTCATCTATCCAGGGGTTCTACTCCGTAGTAAACTTCAGTGTGAATTTAACTGGTGAGCAAGTGTCCCTTGGACTATTGAATGCGAAGTCACCGTAGATTTACAGCCTAGTTTTTGCATAGCTAACTTTTTTTCATGCAGATGAGCTCATAGAATAAATTACCTACTACTTATGGTCCAGTGGCTCTTTTCAAAATTTGTCTCAATTTCTGGTCAATAACAGATGGTGTTGTAAAATCCCTTCTATTCTGTGTAAAGCCAACATTTGGATGGAACCTTGACAGTAAAGAGGGAACTGAACTATGTTTCAATTTCATGTGAATCATGCTATCACTTGACATTTTCACAGCGTTATATTTCACTGTGTAGATGGGATCAGGCTATGTTACTGAAAAACCTGTTGTGTCTCAGCCATAGACCAGGTTCCCATCACAGTGGCTGAAAGCCTGAAGACCTTAAAAAGGTTGAAAAAAGGGTTCTTAACTTTTGCAAAACTTCAGCTTTTTTTTTTTAACCTGTCCCTTCTGTGTTTATCTTCAGCTGCCAAGGGTCTCGGGCAGCCTCCTACCCTAAGAGGAGTGCTTCTGAGGGTTGTGAAGAGTAAGGTCGGCCTTGTGAAAAAGGCAAAAAAGCACTGTGCTGTGGAATTCTGTGCTAGCCTACGTGTTCCTTTAGGGGATCTGGAAAGTGATCCAAGAGAGCCATAACGTTTTGATAGGAAAACAGTGCCTACCATGAAAACAAACCGGGAAATCAGGAAGATGTAGCTTTGTTTCTTAATTGCAGGGAATTTTGAGCTGTTAGGTGACCTGTTCATCTTGTGGAATTTTTTGTGATACCTGCATGACATCATTACTAAATGTCTTTTGCCATTTGATAATAAAGCTATTCTATGAAACATTGTATTTTTGAGTACAATGAAGCATGCTGAATTTCCCACTAAGCTTAATTTCTTACTAGCTGTTGTAAAGGGATGAGTTCTTAAATTATATTTTTAATGACTGATTAAAAATTAAACTGAGCTGATTACATATGTAGATGAGATTTGTTCTGTTTCTACCTTTATTTCAGGACACCTAGGTAAACTTGACTTCCTTGTCCATCTGCAATTAATTTCTTGCATACAACAGTACTTCTGAAAAGCTTTTATATTTTGCACTGGAAGGCAATTGGGTCTAACTTTGTTTTATCTCCTCAAATAGAACCATTTGCATAATTTGCTTTTTTTTTTGCGTGAATTCCTGATGGAAGGCTCATGTGCTAAAGTTGTTACTATAGTGTCACTTACCTTCCCTTAATGTTCTGTTATGTCCAGTTAATGGAATTCTTTTTTTTTTTTTTTTGCCTTGTATAGAAAACTGATGTTGAAAGCTTGCTGAAGGGTTGAGACAAAAGAAGTGAAAGTTAAAAAATGGCAAGTCTTTAAACTGTTAGTGAACTACACTATTCTGCAAAGTCAAAACATGTTTTTTGTTGTCAGGTAACTTTGAAGATTTTTGTGTGTTGTTCCTGAGAATATTCATTGTGTATATGCGATAACCTAGTTTTATGATGGCAACTAAAGTGCGATGTGGATTGCTCTGCTTTGCATTAGAACTGAAGTATGCTGCCTGCCTCATGCCATGCACTTTACTCTGGATTAAGCTGAACAACCAGCAGAATCCACTCAGCCAGGTGGCTGACCAAGGACTGAAACACCCAGCAGCTACTGCAGGTACACTTTTACAAATGTGAGGACTAATTGGAATAGGTGCCTTTGAGAGCTGCTGCTGCAGGAATGAAATCCATACTTGTAGTGCTTTGCACTACAGGAATGAAATCCATACTTGTAGTGCTTTGCACTACAACTATATTAAAATAATTAAACAGGAAATTAATTTCTGTTCCTTAGTCATGTATTTTTTTTCTTTCATTCTTGTAAGTAAGAACAGTGGAGTTATAACTGGGAATTGTGGGGGCTAAAGCACTAAGAATCATACCTGCTAGTCAAATTCTGACAGGAGAGCAGGATCCAGAGCAAGCGTTTCAAATTTCCCTCAAAAAGAAGTTATATTTATGACCAATTGATGTCTTGCCATGAGACACGTTTCTATCTAACTCTCAGCTGGTGGCTTTATAGCTCCAGGTCACCCACACTGAAATAAGGTATGGCCTTTTAATAATGGCAATAAGAATAAAAGCATACTATGTTTACTAGTATGCTGTAACTCCCCTTTGTCTTCTTAAAAGTATACCACCTAGTGTCATAATTTATGTTTCCTTATTTTATAGTACACAAGGAAGAATCTGGGTCTGGATTATGAGAGCTAAGATCAATCACTGGTGTATAGCTATGTGAGAGACCTCATAAAAGCTCCTTTCTGTAGATAATCTTCAAAACACAGAATTCTGCTTCTGCACATCTCTAGGACTTCAGTGATGTCTTCGTAGTCTTAAAAGGTTAGTAGACACAAGGTCAGTAGGCTCTGGAGAGGAGAATGTGCCATAGTGGCAAAGAGCTTTTAAAATTCTGCATCAGAATTAAGATCCAATGCTATGTTAGTGACTCCTGATTCTTCTTTCACAACCTAGCCCTTGGGCAGTTGTATCCAATAATCTGGAATTTGCAATGTTTACTGTACTTCGAGGAGTTCGATGATGTAAAAAGTGTTTTGAGCAGATAGATCACTGAATCATTCTTTCATTTGACTGTTTGTTCTGTGTTGAAAAGACGTGTCACAGGGAACATCCCCAGGGTGGTGGCTGGAAGGGCAGAGCCCAGCTGGCCTGTCCATTGCCTCCAGTGAGGGAGCAGGGCAGGCTGGGGGCAGCCTGAACCAAGAGTCTAGGTCATCAGGCAAGTCTGCAGTGATGCCACAGCTCTGAGGTGAAGCCAGAAATGCAAACCAGCAACACAAGGTCAGGATCGGGCCCAATAAGGGTAAGCAGGGTCTGATGCAGCCCAGCAGCCTGACTTAAATGGACCCATGGTTTGGTGGGGTTGAGACCCAAGCTGAGGCTGGTCAGGGCCACTAAGGCCTGGTAGTGCCCTCAGGGCCCTCTTACAGGCACTTTTGGTCTCCGTATGCTGTCTCTGATGGGACTTACCCTGAATTCTATCCTCTAATACCCTCTGATTCTCCTCCACTGTTAAGGGAGATCCTAAATGCTCTGTCTGAATAGTAAAAACTTTATTAAGCAGATACAGTAAATCAGACACTTTGATACCCAAGCCCCTTTTGTGGATATAGCTCAGTGTCTCAACTAGAACACTAGGCCAGCCAGCCACAAGTCTTCAAACCAGACTTCGGACTTGACCGGTGTGTGACCTTGGCTGTCAATATTGTGCAGTTTTCTGAAAGTGTCTTGACCCTGTGTTTGCCTTGGTCTTGGCATCAATGATGAAAATCAGGGTATTGTCATCTTTCATGGTTGATTCTGTGGTCAAAAGGAACCTCATAATGATACAAAGTTCAAGCTTGTTCTACTGTGGGGTGCTCTTGCAGAGGTTCCTGGGCTGCCTTTGCAGTCACTGGGTTGAGTCTCGGGTCTCCCACAAGCGGGAAATGTGCAGACCATTTTGGAACCATGGATGTTTTCAAGAGCTGTCTTGTCTGTCAATGCCTTGGCCTTTGTCTCCACTTTGGAGGACTCCACCTCCCTAGGCTGGGGCACCCCCCTCAACAAGTGAAAGTGGAAGGAATGGAAACAAACTAATGCAGACTCTTGCATCTTGGATACCGACAAACTCTTGGACCTCACCAGCAAGTGGCCTGGTGCTACTACCCATCTGAGGCTCTGGGAGCCCTTGTAGTAGATAGACCTGCATAACAGATTTATGACCTCCTCACAGGCTGCACCAGCAGGTGTGGCCTCCTGGAGCTGGGGAAAAGAGTGACAGTGCTGCATGGGAGCGTAAGAAATAGTCAGCACCTCGACATGACAGTTCTCCTCTGACCTGCGCCCTGATGTGGGAGGATGTGCGTGTTAGGTGATCCAGTGTGCAGGCTGTATTCCAGAAGTCTGTTGCGTGGATATCGCTTGCACCAGACGCATTGTCATTAAGCAATCGCAGACAGTTTCTAGGGTCCAGTTTTGCGGACTGCAAAGGATTGCTTTGATGTTAAGTGTCACTGATTTTTTTTTTTTTTCTTTAAGAGTTCAGAGTAAATATCTTAATTAAATTAGTTAGAAGATGCCCAATCCAATCAGCACCCTGACAACTGTAGCAATCTGTTTATACTTTGAGCTCTGTTACCTTTCTGAGCTTACCCCATCTTGGGAACCAGCTGCACAGAAAAAGGCAGGTACCCTATTTCAGATAGCTTCAAATCTCTGAGCAGTGTTGAAAGAAACTGTAATTTGCTGTTTGGGTTTCTTACTGCTTCTTAAATAAACTCTTCCAATAATCATGACTGTGATTGGTGGCAAAATAAGCCTGAATTAACTAGCAAGAGGAATAATTGAGATATGTTCACATTAAATCCTTTGCTATTTTTAGAAGACTTCATTCTCTTTGAGTTAAGGCTTGAGCTTGAAAATGCCAGTCTTTGCTACTGAAAACAGCAGCTGACTCAACAGCGATAGTCTTGCCAAAGACAATGAAGCTTTTAAATCACTTCCTATTTACTAATATAGCTTTATGATTCTGTGGCTAAACAGTCATAGTTTCCATGGATTTCACAATTCCACAGATTTTTCTCAACATCATAAAGAATACTTTCAAGATTTCATAAAGTAGTTTAGAGTGCCGTTGCCTTACTCAGGGACATCTAGCAATTCGCAAAGCTTACTGACAAAATTGCCATATTGGATGTTTTGTGTGATGGGAACATTGCTAAAGACTGACAGATTAAAGCTACTGGCCTTTGGATTGGACATCACAGACTTTGGTTGTGGTGACTAGGCGAGTGTATTTCAGAAATGAAATAATCTGGGGGGGAAAGATACAATGGAAAAGAGACAGTCCTTGACAAAATAGGAGGAGAAAGCTGTAGCTGCTTGTGTACATCTACTGGATGCCTAGATTTTAGAGAGTCTAGGCTGCAAGGTGGCTGGAAAAGCAGAGAATTTATCTGACAAAATATGAATGAGCTTTTCACAGCAAAAATTGTGGTGACTCTTCTCTTTCTTGATTAATTAACGTTTTATTGGTTCTGGTTTACGCAGTTAGTTTCTCCCTTCTTGTTCCTTTCTTGTAGCAGTTCAAAGCAAATCAGAATTTCTTAGTCTGAGACTGTCCTCTTAAAAATATTTTTTGTCCCTTACCCTGTTGCACAGCAAGGCATGTGTGCATTTAAATATTGCTGCTCAACAGTATTTCTGGGAATCCTCTGCTTACTTACCGGCCCATCTAACTTTTTATTTACTAAATCTTCTAAATACATGGTTATTGCTGGAACAGTTAATGTACAAGTTAAAAAAACTTAATTTCCTCATTTTACTCTTTATTTGAAAAAAAAAAAAACAACAACCCAACCCTGCTGCTGTCTGTGCTATTTCTGTAGATTTTTCTGTCAAGTCCTTCGGCGACCCTCAGGCTATGACTTTTGCTTATAAGGACTAAATGACAGTTCAGGCTTACTCGGAAGAAGTTTACCACGTGCTGAATATGTTGTCCTTTGCCATGTTGAAAGCAGACTGAGAAGCAAAATGTGCAAAAAATGGCTAGAGAACATAGTAGAATAAAAGCAACCGGATTTAGCTAGTTCTGTCCTGTTGCTGTCTTCCGCAAACCACCAGGCAGCTTCAAGATAATCTAAATGTATGTGCTTACTGTAGAGTTAACTGGAGACTTTCACTCTAATATTGCTCCTAATTATCCTGCTATCTTTATTGAAATCTCTCCCTCAGTGGTTTAAAATTGAACAGTCAGAACTGTCCATCAAGTCTAAGTCTAATACTTCCTTTCATTGATCACCCATTCTGTGGCCCATGCAGTCTTAATTGAGGGCATACTAACAGCACCAGTGCTTCTTACCACTTTCCCTATTTCTCAGAAGGAGGGAAAAGCTCTCCACAATTCACCAGGCAAAATGGCTAAGAGCAGAATTACTGTGCTGCAAAAGGCTGTAGGCCGTTGACAGTGAAGTCTTACACGTGCTGCTGTGCCAAGTACCTGCAAAGAACTCAGCATGTCTTAGCAATGTAAACTCAAATAAGTGAAGTTTCACAAACTTGATAGCATGTTAAGTTAGATTGGTCTCTGATTAATTTACCATTATGCATGTAAGCTTAACTACTTGGGCAGTCCTAGCTAATAATCCTAAAAGACTGACAAATTTTAAATTTTCCTAGGGAAGAGTTTTGATTTGAAAGCCACAAATAGAGAACTGAGTAAGGAGAGGAAGGGGAGCTGCTTACAGACCTAATTTTAGTCTGGCAAAGTGATCCCATGTCCCTCTGCAGTGAGTAGAAAGAAGTGCTCTCAACTCAGAGCATGGGCACGTGTTACTGGTCCCTCAGTGACCTGGTTTGAGTCATTGTTGTTCTTCTTCCCCTTTTCTCCAGGGGTTGTCTTCCTTCCCATGCTGGGCCAGAGGGGGGGGTGGATTTCACCCAGCTGTGCAAGCCCAACTGTTAAGGGAGCTGTGTGTCATGTTAATTCAAATAGAAAAAAAAGCCCTAAACCCAATCAGTCCCAAAAGCACTTCCCCTGTGCGAACCCTCTTTC